AGGAGCCAGGAGCCAGGAGCCAGGAGCCCGTCCTCGGCGGAAGCGGAGTCGCCGGCCCTCCACCCTCTACTCTGGAAATCTGGCGTCTCTTAATCCCCGGTGTCCCGGCGCAGAAGCAACTCAGTAATGTCCACATATTAGGCTGTATTTATAAAGTGTTGGCCCGGGCTGGAGTGCAGTGGCACGCTCACGGACACTGCAGTCTCAACCTCCTAAGCTCAGACGATCCTTCCGCCTCAGCCTTCTAAGTAGCTGGAACTACGGGCGCGCGCCACCACGCCCAGTCTCATTTTATTTATTGTAGAGACAAGGTCTTGCCAAATTGCCCTGGCTGGGCTCGAACCTGTGGGCTCAGGCAATCCTCTCACCTCGGACTGCCAAAGTGCTGGGATTATAGGCATGAGCCACCACGCCCAGCTCCGTGAATATCTTTTAAACCTCCCAGAGTTGCCATGATTTTCAAAGCATTTCTCTTGCCCAGGTCCAAGACCAAACCCAGCTAAAGTCAGTTCCTGTCAACCTGCCCCGGCTTCAAAGTCTCCTCAAATCAACCGGAGGCAAACCAGCAACCCTGGGGGAGCATCAGTGACCCTAGAATTTGATAAATCTCAAGAATAAAACAAGTTGGTACATTGATAGGGCTTTAGAAGCTCCTCTACAAATTTCATATAACTTAATCAAATGATAGAATTCGACATTTATATTACCCAGAGTGCGCACTCAAAGCACATAATTCATGTTTATGGTTGTAGGATCCTGCAATTCTGGTGGAACAGGTAATGTGATGTTTTGGTTTGGCAGAACTAGTCATTTATATTAGCAAACTCACATCACAACGTGAGTCTATCCTTCTAAGTGGGATCTTGGAAAACCTCCATTTTTGCTTTCCCCCCCCCTCTATGGACAACATATTGGGAAAGGTTTTCCAGGTAGGCATACTGGGGTCTGAATCCTAATCACTGGGCAAGTTTCTACCTCTAAGCTTCCACTTCCACATTTGTAAAATGGAGATAATGCCACCTACCTTCAAGATATTTTATAATCCTCAAAAATAACCTTGTATGTAAAAGGCCACAGGTGCTTTACAATACTAGCTTTCTTCCAGTTTCTCATTTTTTAAAAAAAGTACTCAAATACATCAATTTTGTTTCTATAAACACACATTTATTTGTTAAAAACTGAAATGGCACACTAAATTGTCCTTTTACTACAATTTGAGTTTTTGAAAACCAGAAGATCTAATTATTATGTTCTGGTCAAACTACCCAATGTTTTCTTTATATTCTTTCCCAACAAGCTATTTTCCTGCAAATTCTCGATGCTGGGTTTCATCTCACTGACTTCAGGCTTTTAAACCCTGTGGGAAGAGTTGATGCTTACTGGTGCTTCCTCGGGTCAAATCAAAAAGCTGGCTAGGAGTGGTGGCTCACACTTGTAATCCCAGCAATTTGGGAGGCTGAGGCAGGAGGATCACTTAAGCCCAAGAGTTTGAGCCCACCTAGGCAACATACCAAGACCTCGTCTTCACAAAAAAATTAAAAAATTAGCCAAGCATAGTGGCATGTCTGTAGTCCCAGCTACTTGAGAAGCTGAGGTAGGAGGATCACTTGAGCCCAGGCGTTTCAGGTTGTGGTGAGCTGTAATCATGCTCCTGTATTTCAGCCTGACTCAAAAAGAGCAAGACCCTGACTCAAAAAGAAAAAAAGGGAGGGCCAGGGCTACCAGGTGCTTGAAGGCCCATGTGGAGAAGACGCTCCAGCTGGTAATGAGATCACCCAGGTTTGCAGCAAGCTCCACACCGAGGCCTTGGCCTTCCAGGTGAGTCTGAGGAAGCAGCAGATGTGGATCTACTCGCTGGAAAAGATGGCGGAGCAGAAGACCAGAAAAAGCCACGAGCTAATCCGGGTCTGCAACCTCATCTCCATGATGGAGAAGGTCCGACTGAGGCACTCTTCACCTTCCTGTCTGTTTGGGTCTCTTAGGTTTCGTGTGACTTTCTCTATCTTAACCTCAACTCATATTTATACTACATTGTATTCAAAAGGAGTAAATAAAGTTTCCCTGCAGTCAAAAAATGAACAAACAAGCAAACATGAAAAGTCTGGCTGGAGGTTTTGAAGTATGAAGTCTTGGAACGTAGTAGATTATAAAGCTATCCAAGAGACCCAGGGCCCAACCCAAAAGTCCAGCCTTCCCACAGCCACTATCTTTCCTAAGACAAAGTCCAAAAAAGCTAATTAGTGCCTAGACCTAGCTTTATGTCAGACACGAACAAATCTTTCCCTGAGCTCTGCTCAGGCCAGGCAGGAAGAGCATGAATGACACAGAAAACTCCATTTATTGACCTCCAGATATAACAAAATTAAGATTTCTGCACGAGTGTTTTAAGAGACCCTTGACCCCATTCTGGTTGAGCTCACCGAAGTCAGCTTGCTTCTGTTTCTGCAGCCTCTGTATCTGTTTTCTGAGAAGCTAAGAGGAGTTCACGTGTCCGTTTCCTTCGCAGTCTCTCAGCATTTGTGATCATCATGGGATGCAGAGGGAAAAAACCAGAAAGACCTACAAGCAACAGAATTTTCATTTATTATAGCACCATACAAGTCAATTTTTTTTTCTGGAGTTGGAGTCTCACTCTGTTGCTCAGGCTGGAGTGCAGTGGCATGCTCATGGCCACCGCAGCCTCCACCAGCCATGCTCAGGTGATCCTTCCGCCTCAGCCCTCCAAGTAGCTAGAACTACAGGCATGCACCACCACACCCGGCTAATTTTTTGATTTATTGTAGAGATGAGGTTTCGCCAAGTTGCCCAGGCGGGTCTTGAACCCGCGGGCTCAGGCAATCCTCTCACCTTGGCCTCCCAAAGTGCTGGGATTACAGGCGTGAGCCACTGTGCCTGGCCACAAGCCAATGTTTATTACCTGAGGACCTTGCCTCACAGAACCGGGTCAGGTCTGGGACCTGACCCAGAACATGAAGGCAAACCATGCCCCTCACTCTGTACTGGGTCTCCCCTCACCCCTATCATTTTACTGCGAGGAAACAGTGAATCACATCGACTTCCTAACACTATTCTCTTTATTTGGGAAAAAAGATAAACTGACAAATGGCCATTCAAAAACACATTATTTCCATTTTTTAGCATAAAACCCCAGCCACCCAAAAAGTCTCACAAAGGAGCCCACAAAAGAGGTCTCCAGATTCAAAACGCCAATTAGATCACAACTTCAGCCTCCCGCTTGAGTCGTGAGACACCTAGAGGGAACCACAACCATCCCTCGGTCTCTCCGTCCTGGAGCTGACTTGTTTAAAACCTCAATGAGGTAAGACCAGATCTGAGTTACCCAGAAGCTTTTCCATGGGCTTGGAGAGATGGGCCCCACAGCCAATCCAATACCGGATCCTGTCCAGGTTGAGGGCAACGAGTTTTTCTCCGTGACTGTTGGGCAGTGGATCATAGGAGCCCAACTGCTCTACGAAACGGCCGTCTCTGGGACACTTGTTGTGAGCAGCCACAATGCGGTAGAAGGGCCGGTTGGTGCAGCCCCCCAGGGCAAGGCGGATGGTCAAGTGGCCTCCGTGGTAGGCCTTGCAGAGGAGGGTGGCTGTAGAGAAACGGCTGGTTAGGACACGAGGAATGAGAGCACAAAATGGGCAATGGGAGGCAGGCGGAACAATTCACTTTTTCGAATGAAATGACTTCACTTCCAATCTATTCCTGCCAATCCAGCTTACATGCTATTTTCTTTCTTTTCTTTTTGAGTTGGAGTCTCACTCTGTCGCCCAGACTGGAGTGCAGTGGCCGCTCCCGGCCACCGCAGCCTCGACCTGCTGGGCTCCGGCGATCCTTCCGCCTCAGCCTTCCGAGTAGCCGGAATTACAGGCATGCGCTACCACGCCCGGCTAATTTGCTGATTTATTGTAGAGATGAGGTCTCGCTGCCCAGGCGGGTCTCGAACCCGCGGGCTCAGGCAAACCACTCACCTCGGCCTCCCAAAGGCACGGGATTACAGGCTGAGCCACCGAGCCCGGCTAGATGCTATTTTCTTTGTGAAAACTCTTGTCCACTCCAACCAGAAACGACCTCCTCATCCGCATACCACCCTGCATAGACGACCATTCACTAGCTCCGTGTCCTTGTCGGAGCCTTCGTTGGTTCAATGAGATGAGGCTCTCAGCAAGGACTGAGTAGGGGAAAACTGAGAGAAGGGCCAAATGTGAGGCGGTGTGGCTGTTTCAGGCTCCGCGGCCTCCAGCGCGCTGGGAGGGAGCTGCTGCACCCGGTCCCGAGAGCCAAAAGCCCCTGCTGCCGCCCGGAAGTTCTCGCGGGGCCCCGACGACTCACTGAGGTGGACCATGGTGCAGCCGGCGTGCGGGTCCTCGGAGCGTCCCGCTACCCGCCCCGACCAGCTCTACGGCTTCGGCAGGGCACGGGACCGACGCGGACGCTCGCCGCAACCGAACGGGGGCCGGCCCCCCGGCTACCCAATCGCGAACGCCTCGGCTCCGGAAGTGGGCTGTCTACGCGCCCGCCTTTTCCGCTTCCGCCCTTATACTTCCCACAATGCAACACGGTGACCCTTCCCGTTCCCTCGACTGCCGCGAAAGAGGCGCGTCTCTAGTGGTGTCTGGTGGGAGTGGCGATGCCAGCCCAGTCTGTTTTAAGTTTTTTGCAGAGGTGAGGAGTGTTGAGAGAATTCCAGTCGCGCCTAGGGCGATGTTGGACGCTCCGTAAGAATCCATCCACCTCGCCGACGTTTGTTGAGCACCGTTCGTGCCGACGTGCCGTGCTGAGCGCGCGGGTACCACACACAGGGCGCCGTCCCTGCGCCCGTGGGGCCCACAGTGCCCGGGGGAGACCGTGGAGTTACGCCGGAGAAACTCGGGCCATCCGGACGCGGTGCCGGGCGAGCAGAGGAGGCAAGCCCGGCACTTCTCAGGACTTCGCCAAGGAGGTAGCGTTAAGGCCGAGACCGAGAGAAGTATAAATGGCTGTAGAGTTTACTTTATCCTTCTCTGTTAACGAATTTGCCTCTCCCCTACTATTATCCTCCCACGCCATAGAGGCAGACGCACCTTAAAGAATAGAAGTATGAAGCCGGGCTCGGTGGCTCAGCCTGTAATCCCGCGCCTTGGGAGGCTGAGGTGAGTGGATTGCCTGAGCCCGCGTGTTCGAAACCCGCCTGGGCAGGGAGACCTCATCTCTTCAATAAATCAAAAATCTGCCGGGCGTGGCAGCGCATGCCTGTAAT